CCCTGTGGCTTTGGGTCTTTCTTTCCGAAGATTTTTCTGTCTCATAAAACTTACATTAAGTAAATTTGTTATGCTTTTCTCTTTTTGCTCTTTGTTTCCTTATAGGGATATGAGCCATGAAACTTACAATGAGGAAAATATATTATTTTTTCTCCCTGTCATGCTCTGAATATTTGCATCCTCCCAAAATTCATAGGTAGAAAGCTAATCTCCAGTGCAATAATATTAAGAGCTTCGTCTTTAGCAGGTGACGAGATCATGAGGGCAGAGCCCTAATGAATGGGATTATACCCTTGTAAAAAGAAACTCAAAGGAAATTGCTTGCCCCTTTTACTGTGTGAAGAAACATAGAAGACACCATCTATGAGAAATGGGACTTCGTAAGACACAGAGTCTGCTGGCTCCTTGATCTGGACCTTCCCAGCCTCTAGATCTGTGAGTAAAAATTTCTGTTGTTTATAAATTGACCATTCTAAAATATTTTGCCCCAAATGAACTAAGACAATTTCCTGCAACATAAAGGAAAAAAAATATTGGTAGATATGACTACAAAAATTTTTTTGACTTGCACACCATAAATACAGAAGTGTGAATTGGTACAATCTTTTATGGAGAAAATTTCAACAATACTTTTTTTAAAAGTATTGCAAATGTACATATTTTTAAATTTACCAGTACTACTTCTATGAAATTATTCTAAATGAATAACAAATGACATGGTTTATAGATTTTTTTCAAAAAAAGTCACGTTTTAACGATGGAGGAAACATTAAAAGGTTGGAAAGAAGAAAGGAAGGAAGGAGAAAGAGTAAAGAAGAAAAGGCAGGGCAGGGGAAGGCAGTGAAGAGAAGGGAAGGGAAGAAAGAGAAAAAGGGGTGTCGATGTTCAACAACAAGCAGTTAGATAAATTGTATAATTTATTTCACAGTATATTTATTAAATTGCACCATTAAACTATAAGTGAATATTTAATAATATTGAAAAATATTCATGATCTATTACTAACTTTAAAAAAATCAAGCGGCTCACGCCTGTAATCCCAGCACTTTGGGAGGCTGAGATGGGTGGATCACGAGGTCAAGAGATCGAGCCCATCCTGGTCAACATGGTGAAACCCCATCTCTACTAAAAATACAAAAAATCAGCTGGGCATGGTGGCATGTGCCTGTAGTCCCAGTTACTCAGGAGGCTGAGGCAGGAGAATTGCTTGAACCCAGGAGGCGGAGGTTGCGGTGAGCTGAGATCGCGCCATTGCACTCCAGCCTGGGTAACAAAAGTGAAAATCCGTTTTAAAAAAAAAAAAAAAAAAATCAAGTTATTAAACCATTAAAGATAAATGATTTTATTTATGTATATTTATTTATTAAAGGCTAAGTACACATAATGGGTGGTGGAAGAATGGGTAATTTTTCATTTTTTTCTTTTGTTTTCTAAACAAAATATAAATATTTTAAAAGATTTATAAAATATGATGTGAGCATTTTCTAAAGACCAAGGCTAGTAGTCACATCCAATTGTATAATTTCATCAACAATGTCAGTTCTGACTTCTTTAAAATTGAAATTGCTACTTTACCTGTAAAATATGTCATGTAGGACATTATTAGCTAAATTAAAATGGCCACATTTAGCTAACAGTTTATATTATGCTTAAAGATAGAATTACCTAACACTCATCTGAAAGCAGCACCTTTAAATGTACAACAAAAAATTACCCATTACTAAAATGAATGTACAGTGGAAAGCCCAGACTGTTCATTTCCTGAATTAATCAAAAGAAATGGAAAACGACTCTAACTCTAAACCACATTTGCTCAATTTTTTCAAGAATTTTTTCATTCCCAGATGAAATCAAGGGAAGAATTTTTCTTCTTAATGTGCAACTTAAAGTGCCATGGAGCTTAGTGTCCTAGATGAAGATATATACATCAAATGTTAAAGATTATTATAACTCATTAAATCTAATTCCCACCTAAACATAAGTGGAATAAATGAAGATACAGAACTAAGTTTTTCACTTTCTACATTTAATGAGCACATAAGCATTTACATTAAACATCAATATAAAGCAACATAATCTTGCTTAATTATTTTTCCCTTATAATAAATTTTAGCACATTTTTGAGAACTCATTATAGTTCATAATTCCTTTAATAACAAAAATGCAGTTTTGCATAGCTTTAGATTTAAAAAAAGCTATAGTCACTTCCAGTTTTCTTCCACATAAACTATTAACACCTTTTAGGAGTTTGATTGACCAAATATACAAATCCAGATTTGTTTGGTTTTGCTTTCTTACATATCTAATTGAGCTTATGCTTCTAATTATTATAACATTCGCCATTTAAATATGTTTTTGTCTCCCCTACTCCCAAGTTTAAAATCTATAAAAGCAAGGAATTTATCTTGTTCATTTTGCATTTCCAACAACATCTACTTTTAAACACAAAACTTTTTCTATAAGTGCTGAATGCAATAGAATTTAGGTCACTTGGGTGAAACCTAATATATAAAACTATAGTGGAAATAAATACTGGAGACATAAAAGTCCACCATTTATTAATCTCATCACCTTTAGCAAAACACAACCTCTGGACTAAAGTTCATCCTCCGTAACATATGTATATGGTCACCTATCCTTCCCCCACTGGTCCCTCAACTAATTAAAGCATGTGAAAAACACACAGGAAACTATAAGTCACTGTGCAATTATGAGGAATTATTAGGTGCTAACTCCACACATCATTTTATTTATTATTTATTTATTTATTTTTGAGGCAAGGTCTCACTCTGTCACCCATGCTGGGGTGCAATAGCATGATCTCCACTCACTGCAACCCCAACCTCCAGGGCTCAAAGGATCCTCCCACCTCAGCCTCCCCAGGAACTGGGCCTACAGGCCTGCACCACCACATCAAGCTAACTTTTGTATTTTTTGTAGAGATGGGGTTTTGTCATGTTTCTCAGGCTGGTCTCAAACTACTGAGCTCAGGCAATCAGCCTGCCTCAGCCTCCCAAAGTGCTGAGTCTACAGGCATAAGCCACCACACCCAGCCTATTATTGATTTTTAGTATAAAAGTAAACTAATCCCTGGTTTCCAGGAATTTATTTATCAATCTAACTAAAAATTTTAGGCCAAATAGATATGTTTGTCATTGAGAATGTGAAATTAAAAACTATTAATGAAAAACTGATATTTCTTGTATAAAGAGCAGAAATTCTAATATTAGACAATTTGGCTCACATTTCTACTTCATCATTTACTAGTCATGTCAGTTAAGCTCCCTGTGTGTTACCTTCCTGAATTGTATATAGAAGATGCCAAGAATAATAAAATCCTTGTCTGAGCTTTCAGAAAGATTAAATATATTGTATTTGAAAGTGTTCCAACAAATAGAAGACAATACAGAAAATTTACTATTATTATTGTTTTACACAGTTAATTATTATAGATTATTAGTAATCATCATAGCTTTCACTAATATGATTAGTATCCACAAGGCACTAGATTATTGTAGGTATGTTTTTATGAATCTTCAAAACAACTGTAGAAGAGGAATATTATTCTCATTCTACATAAGATAAAACTGAAGCTCGGACACTTAAGAAACTTCTCCAAGTATACATAACTGCAGGGCTGGCAGAATTTGACACAAGGACTCTGGAAACCAAAGCCTATGTTCCTTCCATCACATCAGACTTTCAAAACAGATTTCAGGTGTCTTCCAATGAACGTCAGTAAAACAGCCCCTAAAACTCAGCATGAAAAAGCTAACCAACTGTCTGTTTCCTGTTATATTAAACAGGAAATATTAATATACATTACAAATTAACCTCAATATGCAATTCATTTCATAAAACACATTAAAACCCTAAGTGGCAAGCTATCTTACTAGGATATTAGTTATTAGTAAACTGCTTAAAACATTGCTTTCTGATCACCCATTAATATGGTAGTTAACAGTCGATTTGGATGGAGTAGCATGGGCTCTCTTAACTTCCACTACACTCAAGAAGCACATGACTTTTGTTTATCTGAAATATTCCTTTTAGTCAGGTTATACCTGATTCTAATATTCTAACAACTATATCCAGCTCATTCTCATAAACCATTTTATTTTAAATGATATGCTGAGTTTAGATATATAACATTTTCCCAATACAAACAATTATCTGAATAATTTATATGAGGAATATGTACAAAGTCCACAATATCGGTAATACATTAGCCATACACTAACCATAGAGTAGTTTGGGTTAAACATGTCATACATCAGCAAACAAAAAGTTGGTAATATCAAATAAAGCACCAATAGAAAACTGAATGAACTTATTTGCATTTAAACCCAAGAGCAGACTAAAAATATTTAGACTACTATCTCGTCAAAAACAAAGCATATAATGTTTAAAATGCACTATGGAATCCTTTAATCCATAGTTAATAGATAAAAATATAGAGAATATATAGCAGTCAATTTATTACATATATTTTATGATTATTTAAAATGCCATAAAGTTATTAGATTAATTGCTTATTTTTAAAGAAAAAAAGAAGTAAACAACTGCCCCAAAAAGATAAACCATATAATAAAATTTCCTTTTTAAACAGACTACTCAATTGGACATATCATAAGCATACTTTAAAAATTTCTTATACCTCATTACAATTAAAGACTTCGTTGAATCTCTGCCTTTATCCTGGATAAAGCAGATCAATGGTCTAAAGATAAAAACTTACCGTGTTTTCAATCGTTTTCTTCATATAAACTAAATTTCACCTAAATTATCCTTTTCTTCCCTTGGCCTCCTGAAAAACACAAAAGAAAAAAAACGCTTATTTAACAACTAAATCTGGGGACAGATTCAAAGCCTTGAGAGATCACCAAATGGAAAAATAGAGTCACAAATAAGATTTGAGTCCAGGAGGAGCCGAAGTATGTGACAACTTTTTGGCATATCAGGAGCTAAAATTAAGAAAAGAAAGCTACGCCCTACAGCAGTGAGGACACTTATTTGGTCATCCTCATTTCAGTGGATGAAAATGTAGTTATATGAGTTAAATGTAAAATACGAAAGTTAAAAGCTCCCTTCCACGACTGTAAATTAACACACATGATACTAATCAATTCAATCAGATCAAACATAAGATTCTTTCATCTATTAGGAGGAGAGGCAAAACTAGGAGTATCTATATTCTTTAAGGTACCGTATTTCATTATTGAAGCTATCAAACATAATCTTTGCCCCTGACCTTAAGCACTATTTTAACATTGCTCTTTAATTACCACAGTCTTCCAATATTTTATGATAATCATATCAAAAACAGCCAATATGTTTTACAATTTCATTTTTTATAGACTGATCAAGGATTTGCTCCTGGATGCTTAATAAATGTTTGCCCATTGATTACAGAAAAAAACCTAGCATAGTTCCATCTCTTGAATATTCAAGAGCATAGTATTTGCTACGGTTTGGGTATTTGTCCCCTCCAAAACTCATGTTGAAATTTAATCCCCAATATGGCAGTACTGAAACATAGTGCCTTTAAGAGTTGATTGGGTCATAGGGCTCCGCCCTCATGAATGGATTAACCATTCATAAATTAGTGGATTCATGGATTATCATAGTAGTGCACCTGCTGGCTTTAAAAGATGAGAAAGAGACACCTGGGCTAGCAGGTCTCCTCATAGAATGCCCTACACAGGCTCAGACTCTCACCAGATGCAGCCCTTTAACTTTGGTCTTCTCAGCCTCCACGACTCTAAGAAATACATTCCTTCTCTTTAAAAATTACCCAGTTTCAGGCACTCGGTTATAAACAACAGAAAACAAAATAAGACAGTATCTATTGTCCCACCTTACAGATTTATTATTTAATTTGACCAAATTGTCTGTGTTTTGAATTTAAAATATATATGTTCTAAAATAATCATTTAAAAATATTCTGTCATTAAAATTATACCCTCAGAACTGGCAGTGCTGCTTATATACTTTATATTCTAAAAGCATTTGGTGTAGCTGAAATTCATAAAATTGCTAAGTAATATCTAGATCCCACCCATTTCATTCCATTTCAACATCAGGCATGCATTAATTTCTTTCCTCCCCTCCCCTCCCTTTTCTTTCCTCCTCTCCTCTCCTCTCTCCTTTCTCCTCTCTCCCTCTCCCTCTCCCCTCTCCCCTCTCCCCTCTCCCCTCCCCTCTCCTCTCTCTCTCCTCTCTCCTCTCTTTTCTTTTCTTTTCTTTTCTTGAGACGGAGTTTTGCTCTTGTTGCCCAGGCTGGAGTGCATGATCTCGGCTCACTGCAACCTTCACCCCTCAGGTTCCAGCAATTCTCCTACCTCAGCCTCCCAAGTAGCTGGGATTACAAGCATGTGCCACCACACCTGACTAATTTTTGTATTTTTAGTAGAGATGGGGTTTTGCCATTAGCCAGGCTGATCTTGAACTCCTGATCACAGGTGATCTGCCCACCTCGGCCTCCCAAAGTGCTGGAATTACAGGTGTGAGTCACTGCACCCGGCCAATTTTTATTTTCTAAAGAGTTTTTTATAGATAGTGAAAAGGAAGCTCAGGTGTTTAAAATCACTGCAATTAGTAATTAAATTAGATAAAAATGACTGTTTATGTAAAAATAAAGTCCAGATGCTATACCAATATTAATTACAGGTAACCAGGATGATTTTTCCCCATATTTTTTATTCCTAAAACCCAATTACGCACCTCTAACTTTTCTCATATATAACATTTGTCACTAGGAAACCTTTAACAATGTTTTTAAAAAACATGTCAGAAAACAATTCCAATTTCTTTAAAGTTGCATTGTAAATAAAAATACACAAATTTAAAGCATGCATTAGCAAGCCAGATGCGGTGGCTCACATCTGGCTTGCTAATGCATGTTTTAAACTTGTAATCCCAGCACTCTGAGAGGCTGAAGTGGGTGAAACATTTGAGCCCAGGTATTTGAGGTCCACCTGAACAACATTTGAGGTCCCCTGTCTCTACAAAAAATATAAAAATTAGCTGGGCATGGTACCATATGACTATAGTCCCAGCTACTTAGGAGGCTGAGGTGGAAGGATCACCTGAGCCCAGGGGGACTGGGACTGCAGTGAGCTGTGATCGTGCCACTGCACTCTAGTTTGGGCAACAGAATGAGACCCTGTCTCAAAAATAAAATAAAATAAAAATAATAACATGTACATTAGCAACATAAATGATATTTATGGCAGTCGTGTTTAAGGTATACAAATGGGAGAGTCGACAGGTAACTGAAGGAAGGAGGCAATAAAAATGACAGGAGTCAGTACCTTTTCCTAAATTAGAAAATTGTTAATAACAATCCAGTGCAGTAAAGAGACCAATTCTACCCTCTTAGCACCATTCCAAATGGCGATATGAAGGTAGGGAAGAACTAAAATATCTTAGCCTTACTTACTGTCACCAGCAAACTGGTAAGATTCCTTTTTCCTGTTTTTCTTTCTAAGTGTTTTTATAGACTATGTGCTTTTTGTATTCTTTTTTTTTATTATTTTTTCTTTTTTTAGAAGGAGTCTTGCTCTGATGCCAGACTGGAGTGCAGTGGTGAGATCTATTCACTGCAACCTCCAACTCCCAGGTTCAAGGGAAGCAATTCCCCTGCTTCAGGCATGGGCCTCCACGCCTGGCTAATTTATTTATATATATATATATATAATACCTGTAGTATTGGTGTTTTATATATATACAGAGAGAGAGACACGGGGTTTCACCATGCTGGCTAGGATGGTCTCCACAGGTGTATGCCATCACGCCTGGCTAATTTGTGTATATGTATATATATATGTGTGTACATATATATATATATGTACACACATATATATATATGTGTTTGTATAACCATGTGGACATATATGATTTTGACCACCCAGCTTGTATTACTAAAGTAATATATAGTTACTTTAGAAAATCTGGAATTGGTACAAAAGCATTAGTGAGAACATTTAAATTGTCTATAATTTAATAATGTAGAGACAAAACTATCTGCAGCTTGATTTATTTTTTCCTAAGTTTTTTTTCTGTGTGTATGTACATTAATTTCAACCCACTTTATACTATGAGTACAATTCTGCATTCTGTTTTTTCACTTAACACATCAGAAATTCCATATGGTATGTTACATACCCTTTAAAAGCATAATGTTTAAGAGCTATATAATACTCCATCATACAGTTTCACCAAAATGTATTTATACTTCTCCCACTGCATCAGTTTAGGTTGTTTCCAATTTTGTGTTTACACAGTTTATAATGAACAAAATCATTTTGAAGAGTTATCTGTAGTTTTAACATCTCTGATTTCCTTCTTTGGAGAGAATTCTAAAATTAGACGTCTAGGTCAGAAGGTAGGAACCTTTTAAAAACTGTTGATACATACTCTAAATTGCTTCCCAAAAAGATTGCGCATATTTACATTTGATTCAGCAATTTATGAAAGCATTTCCCTTTCACTTCTAGCTTTATGCTGCAAGAACATGATGACATCAGCAAGGCAGGAATTGGTAAAGCATTTTAATTCTTTTGTGATTTACTATTTCAACATTTTGTTAAATGCCCTAAGTTGAAAACTTAGAACATGTCAAAATGTGCTCACCATTTTGTTAACTTTTCTTTAATTTGAAGTTTAAAGAGCTATAACTATTCTCACCAAACTATGCCCCAATGTCACTTGACTCAAAACTATTGCTCTAGAAGGACAAAATAAGATAAAAATATATATAGAAAAATGATATCTTAGAATGTGGGATTTGGTCATATAGACCTAAGGAAAAAAACAGAATGTTGAGAAAGGAAAATAATATTTATCTGTGGAATGTAGGTCCTTTTAAATTATGAGGCCAAAAGAGGCATTGAAATGAGAGAGCAATCATGTCCTGCTCACCACCTTCTGAACTATGGATTCATCTCTGGAAACTTCTTGCTATTGCCACAAGTAGCTACAAATTAACCTACTAATCCCACACTGGACACAATAACCCACATCCTAGAGCTTAACAAGGTATAAACAATCAACACCTTATATTATTTTAATGTAAATTATTGGTAAACAACCCAGAAACGGCCTCTTCATTCCCTTTAGAAATTTGCTTGTCACTGGCTGGGGCTGATGGCTCACCCCTGTAATGCCAGCACTTTGGGAGGCTGAGGTGGGCGGATCACCTGAGGTCAGGAGTTCAAGACCAGCCTAGCCAACACAGTGAAACCCTGTCTGTACAAAAATACAAAAATTAGCCAGACATGATGACGGGTGCCTGTAATCCCAGCTACTCAGGAGCCTGAGGCAGGAGAATCACTTGAACCCAAGAGGTGGAGGTTGCAGTGAGCCGAGATTGAACCACTAAACTTCAGTCTGGGTGACAGAGCAAGGTCCCACCTCAAAAAAAAAAAAAAAAAAAAAAAAAAAAGGCAGGGCATAGTGGCTCACATCTATAATCCCTACACTTTGGGAGGCCAAGGTGGGCGAATCATGAGGTCAGGAGATAGAGGCCATCCTGGTAAACATGGTGAAACCTCGTCTCTACTAAAACACAAAAAATTAACCGGTATGGTGGTGCGCGCCTGTCTCCCAGCTACGCAGGAGGCTGAGGCAGGGGAATCGCTTGAACCCACAAGGCGGAGGTCGCAGCAAGCAGAGGTCGCACCACTGCACTCCAGCCGGGGAGACAAGAGCAAAACTTCGTCTCAAAAAATAAAAATAAAAAACTAGTTGTCACTGCTTCTAATCAGAGTGTACACGCAAGGCAACTTATGTGACAGTGTGTTGGAG